GGCATTTTCAGTGCCAAACACCAATGACTGTATCCACTAAATTGGATACTGAAACAACGAAACGACTATAGGCCCCTAAAAAGGATTTTAGAAATTCCATTAATTTTATTAAGAAATTTTAGAAATTCTACTAAGGGAAAGAGCAAAATAAATATTGAAATTTGCAACTACAGATGGACTTTATCACTATAAAGTGATGTCATTTGGTATCAAATTTGCTACCTGAATATTCCAGCATTTAATAAACATGATAACATCTAGTAATGAAGACTGTGTAACGTACATCGATGGCATCGTCATATACATATAAGTCCTGGAAATATCGTTTGGTGACCAGTCAAATATTCTTTGACAGACTCAGTGATGCAAGTTTGACAATTAATTTATGTAAAGTAAGCTTTGCCGAGCTAGTGTTACATTTTCGGACGTAGTGAGGGACGTTAAACCTGTGGAAGTTAGCTTTAATGCTACCTCTGAGTTCACGGCTCCTATCAGTAAAAAGCAACTGATGCGATTTGGGGGTCACGACTTAATATTATCGAAACTTTTGCTCAGGTTTTTCCATAATTGATGATCTCCTGACCAATTTCTTGAGTAAGAGAACGCAGATTTATTGGTCTGGCAAATGTTAGAAAGCTTTGAAACATTATTAGACACACTTTATAGTGCACCATTTTTTTTCTTCAGCTTTAGTCTTCAACTAAATCATTTATAATGTCTCTTGACGCAAATGATGTAGTGATTAGTGGAGAATTAATTGAAGAAGACAAAAATGTTATGGATTATCCCATGTGTGTGTGTGTGTGTGTGTGTGTGTGTGTGTGTGAATACTATGTTAAAGTAAGCTTTAATGCATAATTCTTTCTTTTGCATTATTGTGGCCCATGTGTGTGTATGTGTGTATATATGTGTGTGTATGTGTGTGTGTGTGTGTGTGTGTGTGAATAATATGTTAAAGTAAGCTTTAATGCATAATTCTTTCTTTTGCATTATTGTGGCCCATGTGTGTGTGTGTATGTGTGTGTACATGTGTGTGTATGTGTGTGTGAATAATATGTTAAAGTAAGCTTTAATGCATAATTCTTTCTTTTGCATTATTGTGGCCCATGTGTGTGTATGTGTGTGTGTATGTGTGTGTGAATAATATGTTAAAGTAAGCTTAAATGCATAATTCTTTCTTTTGCATTATTGTGGCCCATGTGTGTGTATGTGTGTGTGTGTGAATAATATGTTAAAGTAAGCTTTAATGCATAATTCTTTCTTTTTGCGTTATTGTGGCCCATGTGTGTATGTGTGTGTGTGTGTGTGTGTGTGTGTGAGTGTGTGTGTGAATAATATGTTATAGTAAGCTTTAATGCATAATTCTTTCTTATTGTGGCCTTCGCTAATCATGTCTATATTGTGTCTTTCACTCTTGGCGCAGGAATGTAGACTGCATATGAGTTACAGGTAGGTCTTTACAAGTTTTAAAAATCAATCCTAATAATTAACCTATTGATAAGTTTGGGGTTGTTTCCTACTGGATGGTTGAGTCAGAGGGGTTCAGTTTCGACGTGGAGATGTATTCTATAACACAATATATTATTGCAAAATAGATCGTGTAGGAGAATATTGTGACGTTGACCGGCACTGTATATAAAGGCAAATAAATGCACAATTATTATTTCGAGATTACTGAGAATTCATTCAAAGGAGTTTTAAATGGTGCCATTATGAAAGGTCAGACAAACTCCTGGCACTTCATCATATTTAAGAATATTGATACTTTAGCACATTCGATGACCTGTATTCATTCGAAACACTATATTCTTTAAAATTTTGAAATTTTTGGAATTATTTGTTTTGATCGAATTCACAACACTGTAAACTCCACTAAAATTTTTAGTTTAAAACTGAGAGAGTAAAATTGTTAAGTTTTGCACAACATATTGGTTTTGCTTCTTTCTGTTATTTAGTCTAAGAACATAGTCGTAACAATAGATCTCTGACACTGGAACATGAAAACCAGATGCGATTTTTGCAACATGAAAACCAGATGCAATTTTTTTTATATAAACAACTGATGTTACGCTCTTAAATAACGAATAAAATAAATATAGAATAAAAAAATAAAAAATATAAAATGTAAATAACCCCATCCAAACTCAAAACATTGCAAATGTTTTCCATTTTGGTATTAACTTCTTAACGATGGTGGCATTTAGTGACATGTTTTGCGATATTTATGCAGTGTGATGTTAAATAACGTCCCAGGCCCTAATTTTTGCAATAGATAAAAACCGACAACATTTAAGAATATAACAGCTGCTGATTTATTAGTTACTATTAGATGTATGCTTTTTGTGAAAGGTCGCTCAATGCAAAAGCTTCAGATAAACATTTATTTCGAATAGTGTGTACGCCATCTCGCCAAAACATATCCGAAAGTAGGCTGTCGACAATAATAGTCGTTGATATAAGTCTACTCGACTTATAAGCAAGAAAATACTGTAAATAGATTTTGACTTCCATCATCGTCTTGTCTACTTTGAAAATTTTTAGAAGATTGTATTTACCCTGTATAATTATTACGCTATAACAATACGATTTTAGCTCTTTATACTGCTTTACAATTTTTCTAAGTAGGTCAAGGTCATCCTCTATCTAGTACCTTATAACAAATGATGTCAATATTGTGTAGGTTTTAGATTCAGCGTCTAGACAAAGTCACTTCTGAACCAATGGTAATCCTAAGCCGTTCAAACAGAACCTGTTTGGTATAATTACAGTTTGATTTTCTTTTGTACATACATGTTAATCATGAAGCGATAAAATATCAAGGACTTAATTAACATTAAATCTCATATTCACCGATGAGAAAATAAGTTCCTACTATTTACATAGCTTCTGTGCTAATCCAATGCTCCAGTTTCCAGGAGAGTAAATCTCTTATTCACCAATGGGAAAATAAGAACCGACTATTTGCTTCAATATCCATGAGCGAATTTTATCCCTACTGGATGCAGTATAGACGTATTCCACCACTTGACTTAATTTGGTCCCATTTCCCCAACCCCTAACCAACTACTAAAGAATTAAAACCAAACTGTTAGGGAATTATTTTAAAAACGCAGTCTTGTTATCCAATTGTAGGTAAATAATTATTTTATCAAGTAAAAAATACATAATTGACTATATAAACATTGTCGGTGGAGATAACGAAAGTTTTTTGCTGCTGATGCGGAAGATAAGTCAGTGCTTCAGGAGCTGCATGGTGAAATAATATAGACTTCACATGCAAAGGGCTATGATATGTATATAAGCCTACACTAAATTTGGGGTAGAGAATAAAAAGCAAAGAAAGGAACCTTTTGTTGCCAATGCACCAGCCTTGGTGCTACAGGCAATGCGAAAGTGGTAAAGAGAACCACATTTGTGTGTTAGTGTAAGCGTCTTGTAAAGATCACAGATTTCATAGGATGAACACACACACACGCACGCACATACACACACACGCATACATACATACATACATACATACATACATACATACATACATACATACATACATACATACATACATACATACATACATACATACATACATACATACATACATACATACATACATATGACAGTTTAGCAACACCTAATAGTCCTATATATCTGGAGAGAGAGAGAGAGAGAGAGAGAGAGAGAGAGAGAGAGAGAGAGAGAGAGAGAGAGAGAGAGAGAGAGAGAGAGAGAGAGAGAGAGAGATGTGGTAATCAAGTTTGGTTTATTAAGCAGGTAGGCATCAATAATAGTCCGAACGATCCAATAAAAATATGCAGATGCATTTTATATATTTGCCAAACAAAATTTAAAAATAAACATGGTCTGTGGAATGTGATGTCCTATTTGGTTCAGTACAAATATTCTCTTTTAGTACGGAAGTCTTGTTTATTTTTCAGTTCGAGAATTTCAATACGGTTACCTCAAAGTTCTCTTGATTTATTCATATTAAATGGGGTATTCGAGCTGAGGGAAGGTGTCTATTGCTTATTTTGCACCTGATACACCTATTCATTGACATGCCACGTCATGCAATATTTGAATGCTAATTATTGTTCGTTGAATTGCCATTTTACAAATAAACTAAGAATTTTAGAGCGTTAACTTCATATTCAGTGACTAAGAACTCAAGGTTTTTTTTAAATTGTTTATGAACTCAAAAATGTCATGGATAGTTTAAGTTCACGTCTGCGTCACTTTTCCAAAACATTTGGGAACATGATTACAAGTGAAAATAAAATACAACAATCGGAACCTTAATGCATTTCAGATGACGTATTTGGCATATTATTGGTAACGAAACATTCTACGACATACTATCAACGTTTGGGCGAACATTCGAAAACGCGCGCCACCTCTAGATTCTAGAGAATATACTAGGGGAAATAACTTTTCAATCCTTTTACATTAAATGCAATATGTTATCTCTCTTATACCTTTGTCTGGGATTGTGTAGAAACGTGTCCCAAGAAATAATGTTTTTAATGTTTTTTGAAAGCATACTTAAAAAATGTGAACATTTTGTTGTCACTTTTCTTGTTTCCAGTTAACCGGTCTATGAAGTGTAATACAGACCGATTGATAAATCATCTAGTGATGTATTCCAGACCACACAGATATATTATAGTGGTGTTACATATAAACATTTAAGCAATGTAAACATATCGGACAAGGGAAAAATGTCTACTACTGAGGATACGGCATACTCTAAAATTCGGGCGCTCTTAATGATGTCTCTGAATGATATCATATTATGATTTTTAACGTAGCTTTAACAATGTTTCAGTCATATCGCTACGATGTCTGCAATGTGTCAGTTTATAGTGATGTCTAGCACGAGACATGTAGCATGATGTCCCACCAGGTCACATTATTCTGACACCAGCCCGACCAGTCATAACACTAACCTCTTAATGCTGAGAGTCAAGCGAGGCAGCTGTTAGTACCATTTTTGTAAGTCTTTGGTATGACTCGACCGGAGGTCGAACCCACAACCTCCCGCATCCGAAGCGGACGCTCCAACCACTAGGCCACCGGAGCGGCTCACATACGTTCAGGAAGACCGTTTTCTGCAATTGGTGAGTGGAAAGTTACCGTTGTGAAGGGGACAACTAATTAAAGATGCATATGATTATTTTCACAGGTATTAATTCGTGAACTTTTTTAAATCGAAGAATCATTAAAGCCCAAAAGGGTTTGTGCATGTGTTGAAAGTTGATTAAATACAGTTGGGTTGAAATATAAAAACTGCTACTTACAAATATGAAGAGTGACTAGACACGTTTGAATGAGATTGTGACGAAATATGGATTTACTTATTCTGGACGTTTGAAATCTTAAGATTCTATATATGTATCTCTGCCAAACCAATAACACCAAAATTAATCTAATGAATCTGTGTAGTGTTTATATCAGTTTGCACCTAATAAAAATATTTTGTATGTTGACTTTGTTCCGTGTAAATGTAATCGACTTTTCAAGCAATTAGAAAATAAAAAGCATCTTACATTGAGTGAATTTCAGTCGTTACGACTCTGTGGTGTTAAAATAAGTAACAGAAAAGAGCGAAATCGTCAAATTCAGTTAAATGCAACAATTTCCCTAGAACACAAAGTGAAAACTTAAAAATACAATCACAATGTACTAAATGTCAAATAATCCTAATGTCATATCAAATGTACGACAGTATAAAATGTTCCGAATGTGCGGATGCAACAATGTTCTTGAAAATGGTCATGTTCCTCTACTATTGATGTATCACAAGGATATAATCCGGAATGTCTTTGAATAAATTCACAATCATCTTCCTTCCCAAAATAAAAAAAAAAAACTGTTTTAATCCAAAAAGTCAATTAACGTTTAACGCCTCCGATGACTATTTTAAAAATAATAATTTCTGCCAATTTATAGCTGAACACAACACTAGTTGAATCCACAGAACACAGAACTTAAATCCAAGAAAACACCTTTGTAAATATAACAAAAGTCAGCTAAGTCAAAACCTTACCCTCAATCATGAGCAAAGGCCAAGAAATAATATAAAATTAGGCATACATAACACCTCCCCTCGTAAAAGACAAGTAAGGATTTATACTAAGAGATTTATTTAACATATTAGTCAAACATGCATAATATACTATAATATGGCACACAATAAATACAAAATAAAGCAAAGTATGCACAATTAAAAGTGCATCTGCAATTAAATTATCTCTTCTTTGATGTTCCATTTGTCAATGCTCTATTCCTTCAACATCAAACTCCATCTTATCAATATCTGATTTGTGTTTGAGAAATTGCCAATGAAAGTAAATAAAGTGAATAAACTAATCGGAGAAGGATCTGAACTTATATACACTTGAAAGCCAAACATTCCTTCTTGATTGCTGATTAATTTCGATGTTGCTTGTTTACCTATTCTAGAAATATGTACAATAGATGATTCATGCGATTTGTTTTATTGAATGAATACGCCAATAATACCTACATATATAGCATCAAGAGAATTTTAAAATAATTGACTTAAACTTGGAGCTGAAAAAACTGTTGCACCATAAAGTATGGTCATTGTTTATCAAAAGATTTATGATACTTGGCAGACAAATGAAACGAGAATTTCTTACTTAACAAATTTGTCAAGAGGTTCGCCAATTATGGAAATATTTGAGCAGATCTTTTCCGATAATATCCATCCATACCCGAAAATCGTATTAGTTGTTTTCCACTTAAAGGCACAGAGGATTTAAAGATAACCTAGATCTCAACTTCGGTTGCCTAAATTTGGCAGTGTCCCACAATTTCGTATAAACGTAACAAAGGCACGGCAAATATCATTTTTACCCAAATTATCTATGAGATCTGCATCAATGAGTCTATCAAAAAAAAATTTCCAAGTGATCTTTCCAGGTATCGTTGTAGATATAAGCGTTAAAATTATCGGCATCAGATACTTTCAGGTTCACTAAAATACTGGAATATTGATGGAAATTCTTTTCATTCCAAACAGCAACACTTTATAATAATGCAGTTCAGATGGAGTCGCAAATGTAGAAGTTTAGCTAGCTGTTTCCATAAATGGACTTTGCAACAATCCTTTTTGAAAAAATCAAACTTGATGACATATTTTGTATTTTCAATCATGTCGATGCAGTTGTTGCTTCTTAGCTTTAAAAATGAATCCGTTTTGATGATACTGATGTCTTTTCCATAGTTAATGCACACAAAAATATTATATGGTTGAAGGCAGAAGAATATTGTCAGCTCCTGCAATGATCCTGCTTCACATGTGTAGAATCTACAATCTCAACGTCATGATAGGTTTAGTTTTTTCACGTTGGAAAAGCAAGAAAAATGCGCTAGTATTCACATAAGAACTGTTTTAGTTCACTCTTTTCTTGAGATTATAAATGGGAAGGTTCCTAATACATATTGTTTAATTTTTCTTAGTTCCGAAAATTCGTTCAGCCAAAGTCGCTCTTCAGACACAGATTGAATTCCGTCGTACCATCACACACACACACACACACACACACACACACACACACACACACACACAGATATATATATATATATATATATATATATATATATATATATATATATATATATATATGTGTGTGTGTGAATGGGTAGACTGAAGATGAGCAAATGATTCTTCACAAGCATTTGACAACTTATACTGAAATCAGAAATATATCTTAGAAGATTAATTTTTGAGTCATCATTAGAAAGAAGTTTCCTTTTAACCTTTTAATAAGTGCAATGGTACAATGACAGTGTGTCCAAAACCTAGCTCAAAAGGACTAAAACCTAATGATTCTTGAACTAACAGCTCAAACGGCGAACAACGACAAATGAACAATATGACATTTACGATAGTGTGTATTCAGGACCTAATAATCCTAAATATCCTATCACCTGGCCAAATACATACAACCGCAGGTGCTTGACGCGAGTTTGATGCTGAGAAGAAAAAAAAACAATGATCTGAAGGGGAAAAAAATCATAGAGTGACAAAAATACCTCAGATTACCGCCATGACTCGTTCTGACAATATACTACTAAACTAATAATGATTGTACTACATCAAATCAAAATTTCCCTAAATACTTTAGATAATGACTGAAACAATTTATTTCTCTGATGCGTGGATGTTAATTAATTATAACCTTTTGAGTCAGTCATATTTCGCCGTTGACGTGTGTGCCGCATAGTTTACATGTTTTCAAAAATCATAGTCGCTTGTTTGCATTGAGTGTGGAGTGAAGAAGACAATGTAGAATTCTTCCATTGAACAAGATTCCTAAAGTTGAATCGAGCTAATGTTCTGTGATTAAAGAAGGGATGTACCGTAGATTTACAAACATAATATATGTAACTCTTTTCACCGATTGTCTCCTGAGCGTAGAGTTGTCCCGACATGCAAAAGTCGTGAAATTCGCACGTTTCAGAGCCCGTAACTTCAGTTTGGTGCAACGCAGAAAAGTTAATATGGCTTGATGAATAGAAAAATATATCAGGAGTAAAACAAGCCATTGAGTACGGTCGTGTGCCTTCAAAGAAGGAAATAGCATAAGGAAATCAAAGGTCCTAAGTGGATTGAAGTATTTAGAAGTACTGACTCGACTCTTATTTAATATGATAGACAGGGTCCTATGCCAGAACTGGTCCTGGGGGTAACCTGAAGTATTTTTGTCGCTCTGTATGATATTTTCCATTGAGATTATTGTTTTCTTCTCAACATCAAGTTGGCGTCAGAATGAATTATAATAGTGTTGAATGTGTTGATGTATCGATAGTCTTGAATCTTGAATCTACTGATGTACCACTGGTCTTGATTCATTATGATGTTATAAATTATAACGTCTTTGAATAAACCATAATAGTCCCAAAATATCGTTTAAGTCCAAAGATTCGATGAGCACTTTGTAATGCAAATCAATAATTTATATCAATAATTGTTGTCAAATTATATCTGACTACAACTGCAAATGACTTCACAGAACTCAAAACAGGATAAATAATTTTTTAACTAGTCATCTATATACAGACTGCCACTTGGCAAAAAATTATACCCATGATATTGATTAATTGCATCAATTGCATAGTCAAAATCGGGTCTTGAATTCAAATTCAAGTAAACCTCGTAACAGAAACTAGGTAGACAATAGATTTTCCGAGGTGAAATACCAGGCCTTAAACTTAAATCCATGAAAACATTTTTCTAAAAGATGACAAATGTCAGAACGCGAAAACTATACCCTCAATCAAGGACAAAGGTCGGGTACACAATATTAAATTAAATATGCATAATAAAGTATAAAAGATGGAGATCGGAAAGCAACAGACGTTCACGGCTTGCGTTCAACACATATTTTTGCATTAAATAAATATTGTATGATACGACATTTTTCAGGAGCAAATTTGGCTGATTTGACAATCAAATATTGAGAGAAAAATAGAGGATACTTGTGCAAAATAGGTCTTGGCTTGAACTTAAAAACAACACTTCAGAATATTGTCACGTTCATTCAGTCCAATCGTGTAGCTTTCACTCATGTGTTATAAACTGGTCGCATATTAAAAGAAAGTCCGGGTAAACGGGTAATGTTCTAGAAAGACAAATGAGAAACATTGACAGCTCAGTGCTTGGGTCAGTCCTACGACATTCAATCGGAATTCAGCCAGAGTCTAAGCCTAAATCTTAGATTCGAAAGATATTAGCAGCCTACGGGCCAAAACTCCTGTAGTATACCTGGGTTGAATGTGAGGAATGCGTCTCGCTGTCACGAATTATGCTTTGAGAGACGCCACTCGTAAATTGGCGGGAGACGTAGGACAAACCATTGTGAACAAAGAAAGGAAATCTTCAGAAAATAGTTTTTGCTCGATTTTTGCAAAGCATTACGACGTCGTAATTGTAGGTATTAATATTATGTTTATTCAATTACTGGGATTACTTTAATATGTAGAATTACCTTGTAGTGTTTCATTTATAAGCTTATTTGAGACATTTGAATTTGAGTTACGTAGAGAATTAT